TACATATTTATGTGATTAATTATATTTATTGATTTGCATGTGATTTACATTTATTGATTTATGAAACAGACTTACATGAGACATCCTCGTGGGCTCTAGGTCTTCAGATGGACTCATGCAGGATACCATCATGGGATCTAGGCAATCAGCTGTATTCTTTGGGATCTTTAGTGTGTGGACAGATTTCCTGTACTTTTTGTGTTTGCCTATTATAAAATAATACAATAAATTATGTGTCCTGTGTTAAGTTGTTTTCCTTGCAAACCTTTGACTACAACAGTTGGATTGCTGTATAGTTTTAAAATCAGGGTACTGCTAGCATACGTGAGTGGTTTTGGGAGTACTCCTTGCCTCTCAGTTTCACTAAAGGGCTTGAGGAGTACTGGTGTGAGATTTCCCTTGAAGTTCTTGTAGAATTTGGCAATGAATTCATCAGGTCCCGGGCTTTTCTCAGTTAGTAGATTTTTTATTACTACTTCAATTTCATTTGCTATTATTGGATTATTCAGGTTTTGTAAGCTTTCTTGGTTCAGTTTTGGTAATTCACATATATCTAGGAATCTATTTTTTCTGAGTTCTTCAAATTTTTTGGCATACAGGTTTGTGAACTAATTGCTAATAATCTTCTGGATTTCTTCTGTGTTCATTGTGATTTCACCTTTTTTGTTTCTAATCGCATTGATTCATGGTTTTTTTTTTAAAAGATCAGTTAAGAGTTTGTCTATTTTGTTTAACCTTTTGAAGAACTAGCTTTTTGAATTCATCAATTACTTGTGTTGTCTTTTAGTCTGTTTCAGTGATTTTCATTCTGATCTCTGTAGTCTCTTTTTTTGTACAAACTCTGGATTTTGATTGTTTTCTAGGACCATTAGATATGTCACATATCTGAGCTCATTCTGTTTTGCTGATGTGAGCATTCACAGCTATAAACTTTCTTCATAGGACTGCTTATGTTCAGTCTCAAATTCTGATATGTTGTACTGGCATTATATCACTTAATTATAATTAATAAAAATTACAATATTTCTTCCTGAATTGCTTCTGTGACCTATTGACAACCTTTCCACTATGCCATTATTAGGAATATTTGTGAGCAACTTCCCATTCTCCTGCTGAGTTTTGGTGTATAGAAAAGAAAAGAAGGAGCAAGAGATAAAGTAGAGGAATATAGCAGGGCTCTGGGATGACTAGCTGCTCTCTGGGAACAAAAGGCCCAGTACCCCAACTAGCCACCATTTTACTTAGCCTGTGCAGGGATCTTTTTCCTGGAACAGCACAGAAGTGGTAGTTGAAAGGACAAGTTTAACATCATAAAGGAAACAAGATTCATCGCCACACCCGGGCACTAGTCTCTCTGTATTGTCCTCAGCAAACTTCATGCTGTTCTACGAGCCTCATTGACAAGAGGAAGGAGAATTTTCACATTTTCAAAACTGGTCCACAAGACAAGGGTAAGTCAATTTACAATTTGTGATCCCCAACAGTAACTCATTGATTATTAAAGAGTGTGTTGTTAAATTTTGATATGTTTGCATAATTTCTGTGATTTCTTTTGCCATTGATTTCTAGTTTCATTGCATTGTGAGCTGAGGACATGCATAATAAAATTTTTATTCTTTTGCATTTACTTAGTACAAAGCTAGTACTGACTTACTAGCTAGTTTGTGGTTTATTATGGGAAAAATTCCATGTGCTGCTAAAAAGAGCATGTATTCTGTTGCTGCTGGGTGGAACACTGTGTATAGCCAACAAGTACATTTTTTGAAAGGTTTGGTTCAACTCTGTTATTTCCTTTTTCTTTCTTTCTTTCTTTCTATTTTTTTTTTTTTTTTTTTTTTTTTTTTTTTTTGTGTGTGTGTGTGTGTGTGTGTGTGTGTGTGGTACTGGGGATCGAACTCCTGATTTTGCATTTGCCAAGCAGGCACCACCCACCGGCTCTAAACTCTGATATTTCTTTGGTGATTTTTTTGCTGCTGTTGTTGCTGATCTGTGTGTTTGCGATAATGGTATATACAGGTTCCCCACTATAAATGTATTGAGATTCATCTGATCTTTTATGTCCGTTAGTATTTAATTTTTGCAGTTGAGTGCACCCTATCTTGGTGAATATATGTTTGTAATTGTTCTCTCTTCAGGTTGAATATTCCACTTATCAACATGTCCTTTGCCTTTTTGATCAACTATTCATTCCCTAAATTAGATGAGGAATTGTAGAAAACTTAGGCAGGTTACTTGCATCTGTATAATCATGACTTTGTTCTCCATCAGTTTAGGTCCTGACTACGCATTATCCACTAAAATATATATATCTAAATAAATAAATAGATATGGATTTAAAAATTTAAGAATAAAATTATAAAAGCCTAAATAAAACAGCCAAGTATTATGCAACCATTAAAATTTAGTATAGTGAGGAATTTGTAATACCATGTAAAATATCTTTATAAGATGTTAAAAGGATACAGGACTATTTATAATATGACAGAGATGAACACATGAGAAGTCAAATGGAAAGAAATAAAGTGGGGCCAGGAATACAGCTCAGCAGCACAGTGCCTGCTTGGTAAGCACAAAGTCCTAAGTTCGATGCCCAGTACGGAAAGGAAAGGAAGAAAAAAAGAGGTAAAATCATATGAAGTTGTAGGTCACTTTGCCTTTTACCATCCTCTGCTCACTTTTGCTATTTTCTTGTAGTGAGATTTATTACTTTTGTAGTGAGGAAAAAATTGAACACATCTTTTAAAGGCCATTGCATTCGTCCTAGGGAAAAGCACTGAGGGCCAGACTAAGGGGTGATGGCAGAAATGGCAATGTGGGTACAGAGGAGTGTGCAGGATTGGCCAGCATCTGTGAGAAGCAGGAGGGGGTGAGGGACAGCTGCAAGCATCTCCTAAGTTTACTATCTGAGGACTCAGGAGCCTAAGGAAGAGGAAGGGTAATATTGAGGATGATTTTTGACAGAATGTTGTATATATTATTCCAGGGGCCTTCAGATAGAGAAACTAAGCGGCGTTTTGACATTTCTAAATTACAGCCGGGTGTGGCGACACAGGGCTGTACTCCTACCACTCTGGGAAAATGAGGCAGGAGAGCTGCAAGTTCAGGCTCAGCTTGCATAACCTAACAATGAGCAAGACCCTGGCTAAATAAAAAAAGATAAAAGACTGGGGTTGAAGCTCAGTACAAAGGTCCTGGGTTCAGCTTCTGGTACTGAGAAAAAACAGCAGAAGGAAAAAAGAAGGGAGAGGAAGAAGAAAAACTTGAGATATCTGGTATAAAACTTTGAAACTTGGAGTCACTGACATTGAAGTGCCAGCTGGGACATAGAGAATGGCACTGTTCTTTTCAAAGGGGACTACATTGAAGGTGTCTCTGAGAAAAAGGACACAACATATTATGGCCAATCTATGGAAATTTTCTTATTCAATAGAAAGGAAAATTAACATTTTAGAATTACATTTTTGAAGACTGAATCTATCAAGTGTTCATGTCTTCTTATATTAAGAAAAAATTTATTTCAACTTAAATATGCAAATCAAATTGTAGTTAAGCAAGATAAATTCACACGCAAAAGAGGACCAATATTGACTCTCTCCATTAAATACAGTCAAGTCCTCATAGCCCTACATGAGAAAGCAGAAAGGATAAACCTGCTGCCTGCAAAGGTTTCATTCGATTTTTTGATATTAAGCACCTACTGTATGTCAGATATTGCTCTGTCTTGGATGTTCCATGTTGAAAAAATAAATGACAGAGAAAGTACGACTACTTACTTCCAGCATGGTGTGTCTGTCTTTGTCAGCCATGCCAAGTTTCATATTTGAAAGAAAAACCCAAAGGAGGAACCTGTGAACCACCCAAGAGACAGGAGGAAGCCACGGACATCTCAGCGTCCTGGTGCAACTGAGATCAGTGATCCAGGGGCAGTGAGGAGCAAAACTGCATGGGGATACGCAGATGCAGTCTCTTCTCAGTGCTAAAAAGGAGAGGCCGTGAATTCTAAAACCATACAGTAATGAGGGTGATGTCAACTCCAGCAAGACAGCAGGACCAGTATTAGAGACTTGTTGTGAGTGACGAAAAAAGATGACCAGCAGATTCTATCAATTCACATTGCTGCAGCATGGGGGGTTGGGGGGCTGGCTCCTCCCTTAAGAGACCCTCAGCTTCCTTGCTTCCTCTCCCCACCCCAGCAAAAATGCAGAGGTAGCATGAGGCTGACTAGAATCCTGTCTCTCTGGTACAGAATGAGAAACTCAGATTAATGAAAGTGAAGTAAAGCAGAAGTTTTACTGATAATATTGCAAAAGGGCAGGGCTGCCACACAGCAAGTGAGCAAGTGTGAGGCCAGGAGAAGCTCAAAGAGAGATTCTCAGTCTGATGGCTTTGCCTTGTGCACATTTGCAGGGTTAAGCTGATTTTCTAAAAATAACTATTTCCCTGGTAAAATCAGGGTCTTAGCCTTTGTTTGTGAAGTGAGCCAGCGTTCCCAGGAGCTATGGGCACAAAACAAAAAGTATGTGAAGATCCTGCAAAGGGAAGCCCTTCCAGGACATAATGTCACAGAGTTATCTCTGTTACACTAGCCACCCAGGTCATGTCCTATGCAGCCTATTCCTCCCTTACTAACCCTACAATATCTCATTAAAATGAACCCCATCAAGATAGTCTGAACTGTTTTTCTGATTGGAGAATCAGACAGTCAGATGGAGGGGGGCAGTAATGAAAAGAAGAACACTACTACTGTCAAGCACAGCTGTGTGTGTATACAATATGTACACATATAGGTAACTTCTATCCTGTGATGCACTAACCTAGGCAGAGGAGGAACTAAAGAATGTCTGCTTGAAACTGGGGAATTCCCTAAAGAATGTTGCTTACGATTATTTTGCCTAGGAAAGAGAAGTAAACATTCTAAAAAAAGGTACTTTAACTCAGAATGTACTATGCAGAAAACAAAAGACAAGGTAACCTTGTATTAGTGATTTGAGACCAAATCATTAATTTTTAAAATACATTACTAAACTTTATTTTCCCAAGCAATATAAAGCCATTGGATAATACTTTGTGGAAGTCCTGAGTAAGTCTTAGAAGCCAAGAAGTTCATGAGGAGTCCCCGCCCTGGGGAGGATGAGCTGACATAGATGGAAGATGACTCAGCCCAGAACAAAGAAAATTGCCCCTGTGTCCATCACTTCCACTCCCAGCACAGGTGTGTAAGGAAGCACACCTGCCTCAACAGAAACCTGCTTTGGACCAGGGATCAGAAAGTAGACATTGCACATTGATACCCCTTCCTCCTAGGTACACATTGCTTGATAGGCAATGCCACATTGCCACATTATAGGGTACACAATGCCCTATAATCCAAATTCTTTTCCTTTTCAGTTCTTTATATAAGGAGCATTGGATTTCCTTGGACTGTTTAAGATTGTAAAGGAGAATTTTAGAAGACTGTCTTTATGCTTCCATCATAGAACAGAAACAACTAACACAGCATTTTTTATTTCCTCTTCTGGGAAAAAAATCTATTTAAAAATAGAGTATCACATGTGAATAACTGGAACTTAGGAAATGTATAGAATTTTTTTTCTTTTTTTTTTTTTTCGAGACAAGATCATGGAGCACAGTAAAAGTTCATAATCTTTTCACTTAATATCCATATAATTTTCAACTACTTTTAGTTCAAAGAGTGATTTTTAATGCATGGGATGATCCCAGGCATCCTGCCAATTATAAAAATACATTATTTTCCATCTCCTGTGGCCTGACATGAGGAGGTAGAGAGGAGAAAAGCACCGAGGAGCCGAGCAATCTGCATAACCAGCTCTTGACGCACTTCCTTCTCTTGTAAGTGGCTTCCCTTCTTCCTCCAGTGCCAGCCAAGAAACAGGAAGAGGGAAAGAGTACTTATATACAGCCTGGGAAATGCTACCAGGAAGCGGAGCCGTGAGCATCTCCTCCAAGAGCTCCGCTCAAAGTCAAAGCCAACAGGACCTCAGCAATAAAGGCCAGAGCCAGCCAGAGCAGGGAGAGGTCACAGCCAACAGGAGCTCTGTGCAGGGCTTTTCCTAATGTAGGCCCCTCCCCGCCTGGAACATCTCTGGGTATTGTACCGAGAAGAGCTCAGTTCTTCAGGAAAATGTCCTTATGTGACAGTAAGAGCAAAGTCTAAAGTTTTACTCTCTTGACACGTCTGTTTGCACTTTAAGGGATTTTCTTGAAAGCCAAAGAGTTCCAAGACTCTAAGAAGCAATAATGCTATTAAAGGTATCTCTTACCTGAATTCTGGCCATGGCTACCCACTGTAACAGTGGGGTCCTATGGGGAAGAAGTAGCCAAGACTGGGTAGCCGAGTGTTTACTGAGAACTTGCATGAAGAAGGTACTTTGTAAACATTCACTGAATAGATATTGAATCAAGACATGATTTCAAAGTCTGGCAAAAATTAACACACGGTCTATCACCTTTTTATCTTAAAAAATAAAAGAGTAAGAAAATGTGTATTAACATGCGTGATGCATATATGTCTGTTTACTCTCTCTTAGAGGTTATTCCTGTGCCTTTTACAGGCTCACTATATTCATTTTCCACCATAGAATAGACATTCACAACGTATTGAGCTTCAGGCTCCAAATTTTTCAACACTGTGCTGGTTTTCACTCGATTCACATGAATCTAGATGAAAAATTAAAAACAACAGCAATACATTTTATGATCAGTTTTTTTTTTCTATTATATTTACAAAGTAGTTCACTGCAACGACCTTAAAAATTATATCCTAATGAGGCTACTGTCTTTTGTTTTTGGAAACTACTAGGCCACAACGAGATTTTGGACAATTTACATAATTTATTCACCTAGCTGTGGTTTTCTTTACTTTTAAAACAAATGAGTAAAACTAGATCGTCTTTAATATTCCTTGGTAAATCTATGGTTCTAGGACAAAAATTAACTTTAATTTTGAAAAACTTATACTGACACCCAGCAATTCTTAGAAACCATAAGAACATAAGGAAAGCTCTTCTCTTTTAATTAAGCCCAAAATACTGTGCCTGCCTTGCCAAATAGAGAAAGCTCTGTTCCCTGCTCAGTTTTGCCTCCCCACACCCCTCTTGCCCAGGGCCCTAGCGAAGAAGATCCTCTCTCAGTGCAACATCAGAGTGGGCAGAGGTGCTGTCTACTCACTTCTTGGCGTTTGCCTCCTGTAACAGGGTAGTATTCCACCTTGTATCTGTCCACACTGTCAGACGGAGGAGTCCAGCTCACTCTAAAAGAATGGTGAGTTTGCTCCGAAATAACCAAGTTAGAAGGCGCTTCCAAGTCACCTACATGTGAAAATAAAGCTCATGCATTCTTTCATCATCGTAGCAACACAGGATGGTGTGGCAGAGTGCCAACAGTTCATGGGGCAGAAAACAGCAAAAGCAACAAGAGCCAAAAGGAGAGAGAGGAGAGTGAGAGCAATCTCTTTCTCTCCTTTATTTTGTATGCAGGCCGCCTGCCCCAGGGTGGGCATAACACTTACACCTATAATCCCAGCATTGGACCATGAATCAATCACAAACTCTAGAAACCCGCCTCATTCATGACTGAATGAGGCTTTAAGGGAACATCTAGACACAAGCCATAACATACTCTTAACTAAATAATGGAATACAGAAGAAATCAAGGAAGAAATAAGACAATTCCTATAACTGAATTATAATGGTAGTACAACATACCAGAATTTATGGGACATAATGAAAGCAGTCGTAGAAGAAAAGTTTATAGTTACAGTTGGGAGCAATTAAAGCTAGAAATTGACCACATGAGCAGGGCTGCAGCATGGCCATCCCAAGAACAAAGAGCCCCCAAGGAGGCAAGCCACACGAAGAGGCTGCTTCAGCCCGGAGAACACCTGGCCCCAAGACAATGTGAACAGCAGGTTGCTAGGACAACAGGGTGTCATATGATATTAAGTGTTGCTCAAATGTATAAATAAACACTCCTACAGTGAAGGGGCAGCTCCTTTTCCTCCCATCAAGCAAGGAAGTGCTCCACTTGACTGCAGGGTTGTCTCCTCTTTATTCTCTCATCCTCTCAGGGTCCTTCACCCCAAGAACTTCAAGGGCTATGTGGGTCACAGCACAAAGTCATTTCCAAAAGCTACCATTACCCTGATTCTGAAACCAAACAGGTAGTCAGCCAAAATAAAGAACTATAGACCAATCTCTTTAATGAATATACATGCAAAGATCCTCAAAAAGATAGTGGCACACGGAAGACTACAAATCATCAAAAAGATCATACATCATGGCCAAATAAGCTTTATACTAGGGAATGAAAGGATGGTCAACATATGTAAACCAATATGTAGTACATTTGTAAACATAAGCAGGGACAAAAACCATCTGATCATGTCAATAGATAAAGAAAATACTTTGACAACATTCAACACCATTCATAATAGAAGAAAAACCCTGAAGAAAATAGGTATAAAGGTTTTATCTCAATCTGAAATTTAGAAACCTATTGTCAACATCATTAAATGGGAAACAACTGAAAGCTTTCCTCTAAAATCAGGACAAGACAAGGATGTCTATTATTACCACTCCTGGTCAACACAGTACTCAAACCATTAGTAAGAGCAATTAGGCAAGAAAAAGAAATGAAAGGGACATGCATAAGAAAGGAAGAAGGTGAATTTTCATTATTTGTAAGTGACATGATCCTGCACATAAAAACAAACAAAAAAATCCCCAACAGAGTCTGAGAATAAATAACCAAATTTAGTAATAGAACCAGATACAGAACCAACACACAAAAATCAGTAACATTTCTGTACACTAATAATAAACCCATTGAGAAAGAAATTAGGAAAAAATATCATTCACAACAACACCAAGGAAAATAAATTACTTAAGAATTAACCTAAGGAAGTGAATGAAAGATTTGTACAACAAAAGTTACAGAACCCTAAAAAAAGAGATCAAAGAGGGCATCAGAAAATAAAATGATACTCCCTGATCTTGAATAGACAAAACCAGTATAGCCAAAATGATCATACTTCCAATATAGATTTTTCAAAATCTTCTATAGAACAAAGAAAATAACCAAGAAAGTGAAGAGAACTCACACTGGGGAAAATTTCCCAGCTACTTCTCAGAGAAATGACTAATATATACAATATATAAAAATTAAAAATATTAGCTCCTCCTCCCAAAAAGACTCAACAAAAAATAGTCAAGTGAAATGTTTAAACACTTCACAGAAGAAGAAATACAAACAAGCAGTAAATACATGAAGAAATGCTCAGCATCACTGGACATTAGGAAAAATACAAACTAAAACACTGAAGTTTTGTCTTGCTCCAGAAAGAATGGCCATCATCTCAAGAAATCAAATAATAACAAATACTGCTGAGGATGTGGGGGGAAAGGAATCCTTTTACATTGGAAATCAGTATGAAGTTTCCACAAAAACAAAAATAGAAATTCCCTTTGATCCAATTATTCCCTGATTAGGCACCTTCCTGAAAGAGTTAAAAACTTAATGTTATAATGACACATGCACACTCATGCTTGAAGCAAAACCATCTATAATAGCTAAATCTCAGAAGTAACCTATATATCCATCAACAGATGGATGGATAAAGAGAACACAGTATTTACATACATAGAATACTACTCTGCCATAAAGAAAGATAACTTGAGCTAGTGGGACAATGGACCCACTGTGAGTCCAGAGTGTTAACTGAAAAAAACCAAACACACAAGCGTAAATATCACATGGCTTCTCTTAGGTAAGAAACCTGAAGTATAAATAATAAGAGAAAGATAGAGCTCTCTCAAATAGAAAGAGGATCAAGAGATGTAGGGAGGAGAGAGAGTACAAGGGAAGGAAATGAAAATGAATTAAGTACATGATACATACACATACCAACTCCACATGACAAATGTAAACATATACTAACAAAAAGTAAATTGAAACTCAAAAAAATACCCTGCTGACCCAAAGCACATGAACCATTTCTACCACATTGTTTGCTAAACTCATTTTCACTTTTCTAAAGCCAGAGTAAATTAATGAGAGATAGTTGCTACCATAATCTAGATATACTTTAAAAGACTTGTTCTCATATAAGACCATAATTTTTATCATGAATTTGCCAAAACACTTTCAGTTTGGGTACTTCACCATGTGTACACATATATATATGTTAGAAACTGTAAAGCTTCTTTTAGTTGTTAAAACTCAAGGAATCTACCGACATCCAAAAGACAGAATCCAACGATGCAGGTAAACGTCTTACAACACAGTCCCCCCCCCCGCCCCTAAATTAATTGTTTTTCCTAAAGTACCGATAGTGCTGAAGAATCTCTAGGCTAGACTCACCTGGACCTTTGACGCTGTTACACAAGTTAGTGGTGAGGTTGTCCACAATACTGGAGAGTGACTCAAAATCTGCCACGTTGTAGGCATGGATGTCATCGGGATCTGTGGCGATCATCTTTAACTCGTCCTCATCAGCATTCTTAATTCCTTGAAAATGAATACATAAAACTTCAAAACATTCTCAGCAAAAAAGCTACCGGAATAAAGAAAATATTTAGGGATTTTCTTTATTGATGACTGCTTTAGGCAAACCGAAGGTTTCATAACTTGTTAACTAGGCCACATATTTTATTCTTCTTAACAATAAAGTGATTACTTATAGGTAGCGATAAAATAAAAATGAAGAATGGCCTAATCTCAAAGGACCTGTAAAGTGCCTTCTTCTAAGTGCTTCTAGCACCAATTTCCACCGAAGAATGTCTTTTCAGTGTTTTGTTTTCTTTTTGTTTGTTTGTTTCCCCACCCCGAAAGTAAAGTAACGGTTATCAAGAAGACACAAGCACGTGCACAAAACCAAACAGGAATTTTCCTGAATCCCATCAATAGTGTATCTTTCCTCTAATCAATTACTTTTCCTTGCAAGGGAGAAATAAACAGACTCCTAGAACACCCTCTGGATAAATCGTGCCTTAGAGAAAACACATCTGTTGCTTTCCCCACGCTGCAGACCATCTTTACCTGCACAAATACCCTCACCCGGGGTGACCCCAGGCCATCGCCATGCCCCTCTGAGCTCACCAACTGCAAACAGCTCCACGCCTTCGTCCTTGAGTTTCTTGGACGGCGCCTCGACGTCGTCTTGAGACTTTCCATCCGTAATGAGGACACCAATTTTGCGAGCCCGAGTCCGCAGGCCAGCTTGGGTCTTGAAGTTCTGCTGGTGAATGAAATTCAAAGCCAAACCTAGAGGGAATTTTGAAAGAGCGTCAGCCATCTCTTCTCAGCAGGTCTGGTGGGGCCTGGTAGCTCAGAGTCCCCAGGGCGCGGCTCACCCGTCAGCGTGTTGCCCCCTTTGTAAGGCAGATTTGCCACCGCCTGCAACAAGCTCCTCTTGTCTCTGTGAGCATTCAACTGCCACTCGGTCCTGGGGTCTCCACTGTACTGAGCAAGACCTAAAACATACCATCGCCGTCAGTGAATACAAAAAGCACAACGAAAACATTAACAGTCTCTTCACTTTAGGGAGAACCTACCAATTTGCACTCTTTGGGGGCCAATCTCGAAGACTTCCACAATGCGAGAAATGAAACTCCTCACAGTTCTAAAATTTGTGCGGCCGATGCTCCACGATCCATCCACCAGCAGCACGATGTCGGCTTCAGCTCTGGTGAGACACTCCATCCCTGTCCGACAACCGCAGACAGGACGGTGAGGAAGGAGCAGGTGGGCGGTGGGTTCCTGGCTGTACCTCTGTCATCCCCAGCCCTGAATCCCAGTATCACAGTTTCAATACTAGAGCTCAGCTCAAAGATCTGGAGCACCTGACTCTGGAAATCTGCCCACATAATTTATAACCTCAAATAACATTCACTCTTAAGAATCAGTTCCCTCAACTACCAAGTCAGTGGCAAATCTTTCCTTTCTCTTTCATTTCTCGGCTGCCATCATAGCAGATGAGGACTAGAATTAGACCATCACTATCAATGTGAAAGTGTCTCACACCCAAAAGCTGAGCTAAATGAGAATACCTAATGTCAACAATTGCATAGTAATCCAAAGATAAGATGTTGCACTTTTTTGCAATATTTAATTAGCAGGCAAGTATGAGATGGACTAATTAAATGTATAAGCTAGAAATGGCTTTTGTGAACCAAAAATAACTTTTAAAATAATAAAGCTCCTAGCTGACTATTCCATATACACTATTATGAAGAATTAAATTAGACCCCGACTCTTAAATTAGACCTTTATAAAGTAAGGATACATTTTTAAAAATCTGATACATTATTATAATATTACTTAGTGATTATTTAGCTTTTTCAACTATTATACATAAAAATCAGACAAATACAGATCTAGTTTGCACATTTAAGGAACCAAGAAATAAAGAAGATAATTAAGGGAAGTATACAAACAAATTAATTGAGAGCTGCAGACATAAAATGCACAGACATGTCACAAATCGAGCAAAGATGCTTTGGAAGTGAGAAAAATAATCCCAATATCCTCAGAGTACAAGCTGCAAAACAAAAACAAAAGCTGATTAGTATCACCATAAAAAAAAGATCAAACATCAATGCAAAACAGCACAATTTGACACTTTGATTTATTTTATGCACATGCAACTTTTTAAACGTCCTTTGTTCTACAAGCTTCAGTTACCAGCTATAAATTTTCCAATTCACTGCACTGTCATATGTGATACAAAAAAAAAAAAAACAATTAAAAAAATTAACCAGTGCTCATCACCCACCATCCGAATGTTACCTGTATCAGGATGGAACACGCCCAGACATGAATCCTAGAACTCAGCCTCCTCAGTCAGCCCCTGAGCCCCCGAGACTCAGGCCTCATGGTTCAGTAAATGATACAAAACATAGAAGTAAGCTCTTTCCACCACTTCCACATCTAAGATGAAAAAAACTAGCTGTCTTTACACCAAGGCTGTCATCACTGCAGAGTGGGAAATCTAGAGGCCTTGTGTGACCTTGTCCTGTCCCAAATCAGCTGGCCCATCTTTTCCTGTAATCTGACTCTGGGTCCCCAGCCTAAATGAACTGTTGATGTAAAGATTCATAACTTCCTTAGCAACAGAAAACTGCAACTTCACTAAAATGAAGAAAATGTTAGAGGAGGGTAGATAATGGTATCTATATTCAATAAAAATTCTAAATAATGCATACTATGTAACTAACGCAATACCAGAAAGCCTTTAAAAATTACCAAAAGTCCAGTTAACTGAATATCTTGAGAAATTTTTTTTCAAACATCCGAATCAGTAGATTCCTTAAATCAATTTTAGTGAAGAAAAAATAAACTGTATAGCTACTTCTCACTGTATAATGACCTAAAATTTCACTTTTGAAATACTTTCCTAAAGCTAAGTTCTCGCAGGAAAAGGTACTTCAGTTTCTTACTGGAGGATAAAACTGGCATTGTGGTTGTGTTAGAAAGGATTGTCATTTCTTGTGCAGCAAGAGGTGAACTTTCTCCTCCATGAAACGTTTCAAAAACTTTAACTTTGTAGACAGCGCCTGCCCTGAAATGGTAAAGTGTATCGTCTGCATGGACTGTCAGCTAAAGGGGTAGCATTTTTGCTTTCTTAAAAACATTCACCTTGATTAGCAAACTTTCACTCAGAAGACTTCAAAATGGATGTAACTTCCATTCCACTAATCCTTTGAGGACTCAGGGAAACCAGCTGCACAGCACCTCTTGAGTCCCTGCCACAGGTTCCACTTGTTGGAGAAGGTTCCGGAACTTGGCACTTGAGCGATGGACTCTAAGCACACACATGAAGGGCTGGAGTGTGGCTCAGGGGCTGAGCCTTTCCCTGGCATTCACGAGGCTCTGGTTCCACCCCTACTACTACACAAAGAGAAAGGGATCAACATTGCACTTTGCAAGGTATCATATGGCTCCTCACATGGTTTCTGGCAAGTAACAAGGCCAATCCAGTTCACATGCCCTGGGAAAGTAAATGACAAGAGTTTACATAGATTTCAGTATTACAGGATGCCTATTGAAGACTTTCCAGGAAGCAATGCTTGGTAGTCTGTCTCCTGTTTCCACTGTGATGAATGCAGTGTTGTCCAAACTCAGACTGCCTTGTTTCCCAGCACATGGCCTGGAAGTGAACCATCCCTCAGCCCTGCTCCCTGCCAGATGGCACCAAGCACAGAACCCCTGGCTTCTGGTGTCACCAGAAAAGGCTCACTTGGGGCCTTAGCATGAGTCACCGCAGGAATCACACTTGCACATGACTGCAGGTTTGGTGAAATTATGCAATAAGGCTTTTTTTAAAAAGGGAAAAAAACAGTGTCATTGAAAAATTTAATTCCCGATCGCTTGTAATAAAAAAGTAATTAAAATATTACAAATATTTTACCTAGGTCTAAATTCAATTCTGGCCTCTGAATTCTCACTTGTACTCCTAGAGCACTTAAAATACAGATTCAGTTGCTTGTAAAATACTCTGCTGACAAACAGACATCCCTGATAATTGCTGAAAGGGCTACTGATTTACCTAAGTTATCCAGTCTTTTAACACAAACACAATTGGTTTTAAGCGCCTCCAAAACACCTGTGTCTTCATCTGGTCCAAGCGATATAGGGGAATGAAACTCCCAACCTACTAGATATTCTAGTACGAGTTTGTGTTCTCTAAAGTAGAAGAATTAATTTTAGGAGCAACAGAAGTTAAGAGCAGAATATGTTTATTGAGAGAAAGAAAGCTGAGAGAGAGACAGAGAGAGTGCCTAGTGGGTTGGCAAGGACTCTGTCGTTTCTAGGTACTTCTATGGAGTAAAACCACAAGGTGAGATGGGTCCAAAGTGGAAAAGAATGAGAACTCGCAAGGTGAGTGTGAGGTGGGACAAAACTATGGTCAACTAATAAGATTACTTGCTTAGGTAAAATTGATTAACTTCGTAACAAGTAGGGAAGCGAGTCACATAGCAAGGGGCCATGCATAACAGCAGGACTCTTCCTGTAGGGGGTTGGGATGGTGACTCCTGACTTCCTCAGGGTGACAGAGAACTATCTGGACTATCAACCTTTAGGATGTGGGGTGTTAGCTTTGCCTTTTGTCTTGAGATCTGACCCACAGCAGGAGGGTTTGTCTCCTCCAAGGTTGCAAGGTATCTGGTCTTCCACACTTGCTCCTTTGAGGGCCCAATCCTGTCTGATTGCCTAGAATATTTCTAATTAACTCAGCTGCCTATGACACAAGGATCAACTTCCCCAGGCTCTGTCATCTCCCATAGGTTGGAACATGACCTTGTATCCCTTCACTTCCCCTGAAGCAGGCTCCCGTCGAAGCTGATATAGTTGGGTCAGATGTTTTTAGATTTTGGGGAGACTTAAATAGAGAAGCTATAATAAGAAAAAGATTTTAAAATATTCATAAGACTAAGATGTAGGAGTTTTCTAGTGGTCTCTAAAAAATGTATATTTATGAGATGTTAAACCTTATGGCACAAGAGATTATGCTGAATAACACAGCACTACTCAAGTGTAAATAATTCTTACAATTGAGGTTAGATTAGCATTAGAATATTAGCAATACCATTTAACCAGGAACTACATAGGGAAAATTATATGCTAATGAGGCATCTCATCTAGTAATTATAATGTAAGGTATTTCAGATTCAATTTTAAACATTTACAAATGAAGTTGACTTATTATTCTTTTAAAACATTACATACTTTCCTCCCTATACCCATAAAAAGTTATTATTTTGCACCTGATGTTCCTGATCCCTGCCTCAGCCTTCCTGCTTATAAATCAGAAGAACTGAGATGTCCTTTGTGGTCCGGAGGTGAAGTCACTTCAGCACTGTCTAATCTCCTGTATCACTGCTGAAGCAGTTCCCCTAAGGAGTCCCCTCCTGGTATCCAGTCCCAATTCATGATTTTCATTGCATCAAGATCTGCAAATCATATCCGAGTTCCAGGTGGCAGTAACCCTAAAGACATTTCTAGGCTGTCCTCTGGGAAGTGCCCATGAAGCTATGTGAGCCTGGCCTGGGACTGCCTTGCCACCCTTATCTCTGGATTCAGCTGCCACAGAAATACCAGCTCTCTGCACAGATCTGGAAGTCTTTTCTGCAGAACTTTGCTTCCCACACACAGGGAAACGTAAAACACGGCAAGAAGACAGAATATCCTCTCTTATTTCCTTTGACATTTGAGCAACTTCCTCATACTCTAACAACTGAACATTTCATTTCTTGCAAGTTAGCTTCTAGTTCAAAAGAGTAATTCTGTTAACATTTAAGTCAATCAATTACCAAAAAAATACTGAAAAGTTCTTAGATGTTCATTTTCTAAGACATGGAAGTTTATTTACAGTTTCTGCTAACATTTGCTTTTTGCTAAAACTCATCTCTTATGAAAATTTTCAACCTCAATAACTATCTTAAGGGTAGGACAGTTTTGGAAAATGGTACAATGGAAGAGAATTATTTTAAATCCTCTAAATACTATATAGCATTTTATAAATTCTGAGTCATATGAATTTTAGCTTTACTTTTACAAATAAAGTTACCTATATGTGTCATCTCAAGCCTAAGTTTACAACATGGTTCCTCTGCAAACAAATGAATTTGCATCAGACATAGAGAATAAATTTCAGCCAAGTTCTTAAACTACATCAACCAGTGTGCTCCAAACACAAGATTTTATTTTCATGAAAATAAATCATGATTCTCTGAAAAATATGCCTTTTTACGTATTTAAATTTCCTAAAGAAGATTATTTTTTTCTGAAAGCTGGTTAGCTTAAAAATATTTAAACTTAGATGTATTCAACTGAGCCTACCAATCATAAGAAGAATATGAATTCCTCTGAGAACCCAGACCAAAAGATTTTAGTAAAGGATAATTTGATCAGGATAAGACACTTAACTGAAAATCTTCATTACATTCCCCTGCTCTTTCTTTTCCAGGAAAATCACCAAGATGTTCTAGTTCTTCCTAATAGGAAAAAAAAAGAAAAAAGAAGGCTCCATTTCTTTTCCCTTTCCCTAAAATCCTCTCAAAAGAAAACGAAAAAAAATTTCCTATAAATACTGAGAAATGTCCATGCTTAAAAATGATTTTTTGTTTGCTTACATTTTGTTTGGGCTTGTTCCCAATAGAAATTTATCTTTTAGAACAGAAGAGGTTTTAGGTTTCTAGCAAAATTGAGCAGAAGCTATCAAGATCCCCATGAGCCCTTTCCTGCCCACACACAGTACAGTCTCCCCATTACCAACATAACCCTCCAAAGTGGCACAGTTGTCAGGGTCACTGACCCTGTATCAACACATCCTTATCCCTCAGACCAACAACTTTTTAGGAAAGCTAATCAAGAAATCTTGACACATCCTTCAGCCATATGATGATAAATGATAACAGATCAGTCACAATTATTCACAGAAATCAATATTAACAAAATAGAAGTACACTTGAACCACCAGAAAACCCAGGGGGCTTTGGATTTAACCTTACCATATATAGTAGTGATCAAGAGGGTTAGTTTAGGATTAGCCTTGTTACATGATAATCATAATCTTATTAGTCACTTATCAAACATTTCTAAGTGGTGAGTGATAGAACTGTGGGACCAGTGGCGGCTGAAAAGATAAGAAGTATGAAATATAAATGACCTTTATTTTGAGAATGCAGGGGAGACACCCCCGATCCTTTGGGGGCGGCATCCCCACCCCACCCTGCCCCCGCCTCCCCTGGTGGTGATCTCTCAGTGGAACATGTGGAGTGGAGACATATAAGTATCCTAGGTTTGGGGTGGAACCTGAGGAGGAATTAGTGATGTACAGGTAGCCCATTGGTAGTCTTTTGGCGCCATAGGTAAATTCCTAGGGGTGGGGGAGACAGAGCTCCTTGGTTCTGCCTGAGGCTTTACAGGCTACAGTGCCTTGTCTAGGCCAAAACTCTTTCAATGAGGCACTAAACTTCATGGTCTGTGTGCTCTTTCATTTAATCCTCATGGTAACTCTAAAGCACAAAATTGATTATCTACATTCTACAGAGTAGGAAACTAAGATCCAAGGAACGTTAAATGAATAACTTGATCAAGAAAAAGGAACTATAAATGGTGCCTGAAATCTGTCTCCAAGGGTTCTCATTTTTTTTTGTTGTTTTACTAATTGAATATCCTACCTAGTTGCTCATACTATCAAGTTAAAAAGAAAACTATAGGTAATTGAAAGGGATTCAATATCTCAAAAATTTGACGTATTTTTATATATTAACCTAACCTGAATGTAAACCTCATTCTTTATAAAATCATAATTTTGAGCTGATGACTGTATGGTGGCTCCCACACACACCCCAACACACCTGTGCTGCTACCTACATTCATCTCGCATCTGCGATCAGAGGTTCTCCTTCTCCACAGCTGTATGTTTTGCAAAATCTGGAACTCTGTATTTAGTGTCTGACTGCAAATTTTTCACTACAAAATGAACAAGCTATCTAGGAAGATTTTTTCTTAGTGTCAATATCATCATAAAGTGACTTCCCACAAACCCAGTAACCACAAACCATCACTGGGACAGATATCCAATGAGCCCAAATTGATGTGTCAGGGATGTCTTCAGGGACTCAGCTTTGAGGCAAATAGGGTTCTAGAACAGAAATTAAAGGGGAATAATTTTTAAGTGTCTCCTACTATTTAAAGATTCATCTGGATAGACAACTTGCTGTACTCAAACCAGATGAGGTGGTTTAAGCTTAAGTGTATCAATTTGATTAGATTGGAAATCACTTAGGGGGTTATCACAAAAACACACTTCTGGCTGTGACCGAGCAGGCCAAGAAGGTATGCTCTTAGGTAGTATATATTATCCCTGGCAATGTTTCCCTGCTTTCCAGTCAATGAACATCTTGTTCCACCATGCCTTTCCACCATGACATTCTTGGGTCAGAGCCAATGTATTGAATACCTGAAACGATGAATACCTGAAATGATGAGTCAAGTTAAACCTCTCATCCTTTTAATTTGTCACCTTTGAGTGCTGTGACAGGAAAGTGACTAATATACTGAACTTGTCTGAATTTTCTCATTTCTTCTTTCTGAGCTTTACGTCCTGTTCTGTCAGTGGAACAGATCAGTGAAATAAAACTACAGAATTATATTTGATTTTTACCAATAAGCCTTGCCATAATATACCCACTAAGACTACAAGATCTTCTAGGACAAGAGTAACATCTAAATTTGAAAAGATATGTATTTTACAGTTTTTCCTAAAGAAAAGAATGTGTCTGACCCCTAAAATTTTACATTTTAGTCTACCTTATGACATAGTCCACTGAATATAAATATCTTTATTTACTTATCACAATCTTTTCCTCTCAAATAAGCTAAGGTTCTAGATATAATTTACAATAAATGCAACAATCTTACATCACTTGCAAACTGTAATTCCATCAATCATTTCTGGAGAAACTTTTATTTTCTTATGCAATTGAAAAAATAGAAGTGAAAACTTTTGATATTGCTTAATGCCAATGAAACTTAAAGCCACCAATTCTGGAAATATAAAAGCAATTAGTCATCAAAATGAAACACACCACTTGTTCCTGATGATCAAAAATGTCTGCTATGAAATTTTGGCTTCTTCTTTAAAAAATGCAACCCAAGTGGAAAAATGTGGAAACCACAAATTAATCACAGGCACAGATGCCTTCCAATAAACCTTCATCTTCCATATTGTAAATGTAAGATAAATATACAGATCACTTTATATTGGCTACCTTTTCTAGAGTTTAGGCCAGTACAACATAACTAAGAAACTATCTGAGCCCTCAGCATATATTTTGCCAGTAGCTTTTGCATGTTTATGCAGATGGTATTTAACATTTTTGTTGTATTTTATTCAAATAATATATAAGAATTTTGAAGGCTGCCATTTTCCTTGACTCAAAGAGAAAAAAAAATGAATATTTTAAACTGTTTACACTTAAAATTTCAGCATACAAATGAGGATAAATCAAAAAGAAATATGAGCAGAAAAAACCTATAATATATGATTAAATTCAAAGATTAAAATAAATAAAACAGGAGCTGAACTTCCTACCAGAGTTCAAACCTAGATGGAAAATTCTATTATAAGTAACTTTACTGACAGGATATCTCAGCTCAGCTCTACAAGGAAATTAGCAACATATTTTACTGAAACCAAGAATAACTTATTTCTGCTGAAACACAGCTCAGTGGTAGGGTGCTTGCCTAAGACTTGTAAGACTCCAGGTTTTATCTACCAAAGTAGGAAAAAGAAGAAGAAAAAGGAAAGAACAATACTTATTTCATATTGCTTCCTCCCTTCAAATATTTGAGGTTCATTTTCATTTGAAAAAAATTTAGGTGTTATTTCCTATTTAAATGACCACAAACTTTTATATTTTGTGTACTTGAAAGATTATAAAATTGAAATTTCAAGTTATTTATTTTTTTGGTTTGGTTTAGGAATTGAAATTTTGTTTGTTGGTTGGTTTTTACTTTCTTTGATAATTAATATTCCAACAGCTAGTCTGTAAGTTTTTAAAATGTAGTACATTTTTCTTTTCACTTATACCCGCTCCCCTTCTAAATTTTAGGATATGCAGTTAGGAATGGCTGCAAGGTCACTTGAAAGTGATCTTGAATTTAAATAAGCTAAGTACTGCATCAATGAATTCTGAAAAAAATCGTAAGACAAAGTCAGAAAGTGAAAATCTTCTGAATTAGCACTAAGATAACTTATAAACATTAATTTCAGCTTCTACTTTTCCTGAAAGTTGTGCTTTTTAGCAGTTTTCTCCCTCCTTGCTAGAGACCTAAATGTGTGATATTGTTACTATGACAACAGATGTTCATGTCACAAACAAGCCAATTATTTAAATGTGACAAAAATAGTAGGAAGAAAATTTTGGTCGAAGCAAAAATATATTGATAAGGACATTTCTGAGCTTAAAACAAAAGGACTATGAGATGCAGGAGGAGAGAGTGGAGGGATAGGAGATGAAACCAGGAATTCAGATATATTATGCACAAGTACCGACTCTCCACAAATAATGTAAACATTATGTACTATACACGTGTACTTTAAAAAAGAGCTCTGATCACTAGACACAACTCCTCATGGGTTTCAAATAACTATTTTATTGCTCTCCAGACCTGTAATCCACAACAAAATACTAGTAAAATTCAAATATAATTATAATTCAAGTTAGCCAGTAATGATAACTAAAAATCCAATCATGAAATGAAACCACTTCATCTTAAAGATTGTTCCAGCCAGCTTTCATTCAGTTTCATATCCTACTTTCAGAAGCAGAAGTTAAATTGAAAATGTAATGATGTAAGCTCTCTTCTAGATCAATTTGTATCTTCCATTAGCACTCAGCTCAAAAACCATCTAAATCTCCACAGCAGACTAAAAAAGACCTGCTTCTAGCTAACATTCATGTGGAAATACACTTGACTTATAATCAATAAATTGGAACCACCAATCCAAAGGACAAAGTTCACTACTGATAAGTTGACAGTTAAGTATTGCACAGTTCTTATAAAGCTCGTAACGAAAGATTGTTCAACTTCAGAGCCTGAAAGTAAAAACTATTTCTTCCATGATTATTACCTCGTCAATTTAATTCAGATTTTTTATCAGAAAGGAAGCAACCATGAGTTACTGTTCAGCCACGGTGCTAACATACCCTGGCAATACGAAAATTGTTTTATTCAGAATGTATGATTTTTCACATGATGAAACAGGAATCAATCCAGGCAAGTACAGAGAACAGAGCAGCCCATCTTGGGGAAGGCCTGTGTTACTTAACATCATGCAGAGTTCCTGGGCTGTGCTAATTGCCTTGCTCATCAAGGAAGCTGAGCTGGCCTGGTCAGTCCACAGGAAGTCATTCATGTCTAGGATACTGGTGGGTTGCTACAGCAACAAAAACAAAGGAAATCCTGAAAAGTCATGTTTTCCATCACCAAAACAACACTTAAAATTTTTCATTCATTTGTGGTACTTCTCCAGATAAAAATGAACATTATTCACACAGAGGTTTATACAGGTTTTCCTCCCACTATATAATGATGATTACTTAAATTTACTATCAAGACTTAAAATAATTTATAACAGTTTTAGTCATCACATAAAGCTTATCAACTCTAACAATAACAAAGGGGGAGAAAACAGTGTAAATGAAACCTAATGGTGTGTGCTCAGATTTCTCTGAAGTTTGGATCTGGAATAGTAATAAACTCTGCCACTGTGATTCTCTTGCCTATAATACTATAGCCACTATGGTTTTCCAAAGTGCCAATGCTAACCTGTCTCTTCCTGAATGTGACATTCTGATCATCAGCTACACTTAAAAACAAACGAACAACAACAAAAAGTATGAATATATATATATATATATATATATATATATATATAGAGAGAGAGAGAGAGAGAGAGAGAGAGAGAGTGTACCAGGAAACAGAGTGAACCAAGTATGGTAGAAGACCATAATAAATATTTATTAAATTTTTTAAAAAAGAAACTTTTGATCATGATGTATGATCCTTTTGCTAACTACTGCATTCTATTGGTCAAAATCTTATTAAGCACTTTTTTTTGTAACAGGAATTAAACTTAGGACCTTGTGCTTGCCAGGCAGGTGTTTATTATGCTGCTGATCTATATCCCTGGTCCTTTAGTAAGCATTTTTTACATTTATTTTCATTAAGGAGATTGATCTATAGAATTTTTAAAAATTTGTTTGAAAACAGTAATGCTGGCTTATAAAAATGAACTTGGAAGCACTCCTCATTCAATTTCATTAAAGACTTTTACGAATGTTGGTGTTACAACCTCCCTGAAGTTCTTAAGAATTCAGCACTGAATCCTGGGCTTTTGGTCCTGGGCTTTTCTTAGGAGTGGGCTTTTGGTTAAGATTTGGCTAGGGATGTGCCTATTTTATTTTTTCAAAGACTCACACCTTCAAATCACTGATTATTTGTAATTTGCACTTTCATTTTTATGATTTCCATTTTTAAACTAGGTTTCTGTTTGGACTGTTGTGTTTTAAGCATCTTGAGGTTCATAGTTTGGATATTTATGAGCTTGCTACTGTTTTTCTAATATGAGTATTGACTCCTCTTAGGGCTAGCACATATGTTCTGCTATGTTGTACTATCGTTGTTCTTTCATTCTTAGAATTGTTTAATTTCTTTTTTTTTTTAATTTTATTTAAGGAGAAAAGAAAAAAAAAGCAGAGAAAGGGTACAAGTTATACAGATTTACAGAAAAAAATAAATAAATAAACAGTAGGAAATCACCAGTTAACGGATTACATATTGTCATCTTAGAAATAATTGTTCAAGTCACAAAATTAAAGCTTGTAAAGTGGACATTCCAACAATGATACTGCAAACAGTTCTGTTCAATGGTCCAATAAAACTCTGTGATATCATTTTCTATCTTACACACTTAAATATACATGCAGTTATATAGTTTAGAGCACTTTCTTTTCCTCTCTTTTGTACAATGACTATTACACATTTTGGGTTTCATTGCTCCCACGGTTCTTATTACTTTTTTGGAAGAGAGTAAAACCAAATGTGACATAACAGAACAGAATCGGTCAAGTCAAAAGGGTGGACATAATAGATAATGCAAAAACATAATACAAGGTGATCAACAATGGTTACCATAATGCCTCCCGCTATCTCTAATAGAATTGCCTATATCATTAGCTATAATAAAATTGAACAAAACAGTAAAGAACAAAACCGACAAAACCAAAACATTGGAGACATTGTAGGTCTCCAAAAGTAGATAAAAGTCAACGAGAATAGGCGTTATAATGAATCTCATTATCTTCACAGCTGACACCTAAATTTTCGAACCTGATACTATCCAGCAAAACAGAATAGGGGAACATCAGTCAAAAACAAGATGGTGAGAGTAATACAGGGCTTTAAATCAAGAAAATGGAAAGTCAAAGTGGGTTACTATCATATATCCTGCTATTTTTATTTATTTTTCCTTTTAATTAAAAGGATAAAAATAAAAAAGTAAATAATGGAGTGGAGATTGAGATAAAAGAGGGCATAACAGCGATACAGCGCAGATCAAAACATAACCATTTAAGCAGAATTGTGTTTCACCACCAGATAATCCTGACCTAAAAGTAGTTACCATATTGTCTCTTTCCTTGAAATCCTTGAGTACAACTTCATATACTGTAGCATTAAATATATCAAAACAATGTAAAACCATTTAAGAGAATGACAGCATTACAGATTATTTAGAATCGACTAACAGAAAATGAACAATGGTTTCTGTATAATCTCCTTGTCTTTAAAAGGTTTTTGCTTATACTATCGTACATAATAAAATCCAATAAGATACAACCTATTTAGACCATTGGAGACAGAAGAACAAAAGCTTGATGAGACTTCAAAACAAGACGATACTAAATCAGTATTACCTATTAAGATGTCATTTTCTCCAAAATAGCTGTTCCTATCATCCAATCTTCTCTGCCTCATTTCTGTTGAGCTCTTTTTCTGTCAGTAGCGGTCAGTTTGTCTTCTTCATTTTGTTCTCTGCTCCATTTGTTGTGGCCTCCCCGCCACTATTTCTGGATTCTTTGTATTTTTCTTTTTTTAGAATATCCTGCAATACTCTCTGTAGAGTTGAATTGGTGGTTGCAAATTCCCCCAGTTCCTCTTTATCCTGGAAGCACCTTGTTTTTCCATCAATTTCCAGGGACAGTTGTGCAGGATATCTCAATCTTGGCTGGAGATTATTATCTTTCAAAGCTTGAATTATTTCCCCCACGCTCTTCGTGATTTGCTAGTTTGTGCAGAGAAATCTGCTGTAATTCTGATGGGTGTTCCCTTGTAAGTGGTCTGTTTCTTGTCTCTTATAGCTTTTAATATTCTGTTCTTGTATTGAATTTCTGGAATTTTTATTATTATATGCCTGGGTGTAGCTCTGTTTGGGTTGTAGGTAGCTGGGGTCCTGTATGCCTCATTCATCTGAGTATCTTTACCTTTTGCTAAATTAGGAAAATTCTCCTGGATTATTTCTGTGAGTAGCTTTTGTAGTTCATTTGTTTGTGTCCCTACTTCTTCTTTTATGTTCTTAATCCTTAAGTTATGGATCCTCTTATCATCTTCTTGTCTTTGTATTATTGCTGTTTGTTTCTTTGTTATTTTTAAGAAGTTTTTCATTTCATTCTCCCATATTACAAGTCTGCCCTCCAGTTCAGATAGTCTGTCCTTAGTTTCTTTCAAGCTGTTATGCCAGTCTTCGATAGACTTCTTAGTTTCTTGGTAGTCCCTTTGAACCTGCTTCACGTATTCTATGCTTTCTCTGTTTTCACCATCAAACAATTCTCCCCTCTTTTTCTGTTCTTCCATTCCACCATCTGTTTTTTCTTGGGTGATGCTTAGCATTTCTCTAACTATTCTGCATACTTCTAGCTTCAGGTCATTGATAACTTCATTCCTGAACTGATCGATGAGGCTCTCTATATGGCGCTTTACGTCTATTGGTGCGGTGTCCGCTATTGCCTGTTTCTCAGAATTGGGGGCCGAGGAGCCTTTCTTGTTGCTGCCTCTTCCCATATTCTCTGTTCCCTATATATGCAAGCTTATATAGGAGACCCAGCTTCTCTCCCTGTCAGCCACAGCCTGATCAAATGCGCCGGCTAGGTGTTCCCGCCCACCGCAGCGCACCAGGGAGTTACAGACCAGGCAGCCTACGCGGGGCCTGCCCCTCCCGGCCACCGTCAGGCTCTGGGATCTGGGTTGGGCCAGCCCACTGGGTCCGCCAGCAGCGTCACATAGGCTATGCACTTCTCACCAATCCCGCCTGAGAGGGGGATGTGTGGCTGGAGTCGCCACCGTGCCCTGCTCCCGCAGGACTTCCCGGGCCCAGAATGTCCTCCACTGGAGTCAAACTGTGGTAGAGTGTCAGTTTCTCTCACTCACCTCACCACAAGTCAGTGCACGCCTCCCTGCCTGTCCTGTTTTCGACTCCGTTCGCAGATTCCCGTTCTCAGAGCTTCCGCGCGTCTCTCTCCTTGCCACGCCGATGTAGAGGCAGTCACCACACGGTGGGGAACCCAAATCGCAGCTTCCAATGGCGCGGGGTCCAGCCTCCACACTGAGGCTTTTCTGTTCCTGTTTTAGCACCAGGACTGCATTCCAAGTTGGTTTCTCTCAGCCCAGTTCGTTCCTGAGTCAGCAGAGCATATCTCCATCCTGCTTATGTCTCCTTACTCCGCACCCTTCCTGACTTCTGAAACGAGCCTTTCAGAGAGCCTCCATAGTAGCTGTTATCTGTCCGCCATGTTCTCCCGAGAATTGTTTAGTTTCTTCCTTGATTTCTTCTGTGATTCACTAAATGTTCAAGAGTATGTTATTGTTTCCAGATGTTTATTTTCTGTGATTTCTTTACTGACTGATTTCTAGTTTTAATGCACAAAAATCTCACAATATATATGGAAATGATTTCAATTATTTTGTATTTATCTAAGCAGGCTTTGTGAACTATTACATGACCCATGTTAGAAAAGTTTCTGTGTGCTGCTGGGATAAATGTGTGGTCTATTTGGTAAGGTAAAATACTGTAGATAGCTAGTAAGTCCATTTATTCAAAGATGTGGTTTTGGTTTTGTTTTGTTGATTTTTGGTTTTCTTGATTTGTCTCAGTGAAGGTTGTTCAAAATATGCAAATAAATAAATTTAATACATCACATAAATAAAAGCAAGGACAAAAATCACATGGCCATCTCAATAGATGCAGAAAAACCTCTGACAAAATCCAACATCCATTTATGTTTAAAAGAAAACTGGAGAATAAAGATATAGAAAGATCTTATCTCAATCAGACAAAAGCCATTTATGACAAACCTGCTGTCAGTTCAGATTAAGTGGGGAAAACCTGAAAGCTTTAACTCTAAAATCAAGAATAAAACAAGGATCTCAACTATCAGCATCACTGTTTAATATAGTACTCAAGACAGTAGCCAGAAGAAGGTCTACACAGTGAGCCCCATCCAGCCACTGTAACCTCAGAACCATGCTTGGAATCTGGAAGGGTCCCACCCAACATCCCCAGTCAGCTGTAGATCTTCAGGTAGGTCCCTCAGGGCCTGCTTGGGCCCAGCAACCCCTAGTAGTCAGAAATCACCTGAGCTCGGTGGTGAGAGCTGAAGGCCTGCACAGAGGACCCCACCCAGCCATGCAACTTCAACAACTCCCATGGAACCTGGTCAGATCCTGCCTAGAAAATGCAAGCAGGTTTGGAGCTTTGGTGCACCATGT